AACTGTGTATGGGTCTTTGGATGAAAGGCTAGGGAGATGTCGGGCAGTCCCAGGGAAATACAACACGACCGGAGAAGTGGAGGCTGGCGGGGGGGGGGGGCGCCAGGTCATTGGGGACACTGCTCATTCTCTGGACGTTGACCCCTCGGAATCTCCATTTATGAAATCCCCCCTGCAGGTACTGTCGTCCTGTGTTCGAGCTCCGTGGGAGGTCTTCCATGAGGAATGCGTCAAACACAAAACTCCGGTGCTGCGTGACCTCTCTGCAAGAGATGCCTATGCTGCCTTTGGCGTTCTGAATGCCCAGACTCGGTTCCAGTATGCAGCGATCTCCGCAGATGAGTTGGCTAGCTACCTGTACTATCGCGACATCATGTTCCAAGTCGGGAAGGCCGACAATTGGGGCCAGCTGTCTCGTGATGAGCGGGATGACTTTATGCCTAACGACGTGTGGATGTTCCTTACAGATCTTTTACGACGGGAGCCAAAGGTATCGATCTTGCTGCCGGAACTAGACCTCAGCTTCGTTCTGCAGGGCATGCCTGCAGAGTCAGGCCCACTGCTTGCTTGGGAGAGGTTGGAACCTGGAGTCCTCGAGGTGTTTCAGGCATTGGCATCCAAGCTTCCGTTGGCTCTGGGCGCTTCGCTGGGTCCCGTGCTTGCACGGCTTCAAGTGAAGAAGGAGGAGCAGCAGGAGCCAGCTCGCGAGCTGGATCAGCAGTCCTGCCTGGATATCGAACGGCAGCTGCTTCGACCCTACGTTTCGGAGCAGGTTCGGCCATGCATGCTTTGTAGCTCTGTTTCCCTATACACAAACCGTCGCCCGTCGCGGGACTCATATGTCCTTGCAACCAGGCGAAGCTGGATGAGCTCATGTCCTGGGGGACGCTGCTCCACAGCCTCGTGCAGGTGGCAAAAGAACATCTGGGAGAACTCTGGGTTAGATGCTTGTGCATTACTCTAGCCTCCAACGAGCAGACATCCAGGCTGATGCAGATGCAGGCACAGGCCCCTCTTGTTCTAGCTGTGGTCTGCGACCGCGAGCATTGGTCCGTGGTCCTTCTGCGAAGGGGCTCGGAGGTCGCCTGCTTTGTTGACGGAAAACAGGGTGAGGCTACTCTGCGTCTCGCCGAGGCCTTCGTAGTGTTGGCGCAGGAGCAGGATAGATGCAAGTATGTGCTGCAGCGGATGCCCGTCGCACCCCAGGACGACCAGTGGTCTTGTGGCCACCGAATCATATGCACCCTAGACAGGCTGCTTGGTGGCAAGACCTCGAGCTCGGACTGGCCACCCAGCTTCGAGCCTGCGACCTACTCGCGGGCGAACATGCTCAAAGTCATCGATGGCGTGTCGGAGGACCCCGAGAGCCGCATCATCCAGGACCTGGCTGTGGTGGCCCGAGCTGCGGAAACTGCTGGAGCATCTGAGGGTCCGGTCGTGGACCGTCCGGACCAAGAGTCCGCTCTAGTGGAGGAGCCTGAGCCCAAGCGGCGCCGCCGACAGCTGACGGAGAAGCAGAAGGAAGAACAGGACTACCAGGCCGGTGTCAAGATGCTGCTGGAGAAGAACATCACCTTTAATGAAACCTTTCAGCGGCAGCACCACGAGAACAAGCTCCCCATGCCCAAGGGCCACTGGCGACAATTCGTGGTCGCTGTCAAACGTGACACGGCCATCAAGAATTGCTTGGCTTGCAGCGGCTTGCGAGACCGCTGCCTTCTGCAAGACCGGGCCGATGAGCAGGCGCAGCCAATCCAGGACGGCGGCCGAGTCTACAGTGGCGAGGGCAGACCTCGTCGCACCGACCAGCGAGAGACCTTGCAAACCATCCTTGCAAGAGATCGGCCTGGCGTGTATCAGCACCTGCGTACCTCCTGGTTTTGGTGTTCTTGGTGTGAGAAGGAAGTGAATTTTCAACGGCTTTGGGTAGGTGGGATGAAGTATGTCAAGGACCATGAGAAGGCCCGGTGCCATCGTGAACCTGGCGTCCCTGCTGCTGCCTTGGCTGGCAGGCCAGCCACGTGCGAGGGCGTGGAAGTTGGAAGCGGGACATGCCCCGGCCTGGATCGTGTGGAAGATGCTGTGGTGATCTGGCTCCAAGCGGGCCTTATCCAATGCATAGAGACTGATCCATTGAGTCCGTGCTACAGCCACTGCATTACATGGCGAGGTGACAAGGTCGTAGTGAAGTCTCGCTATTGTCGAGGCTCCGGCGGGAGCCCGTGTGATAGATGCTTCAAGCAAGCGTCCTCGACCCTCTTCATCAATGAGGTGGTGCACTGGGCAACGAGAATACACATGGTCATGCACGTGACAACCTTGGCCGAAGGGACAGAGCCGGAGAGAGTCCAGGCCAAGGAGAAACTCATGTCGAGGGACATCTACATCACCCGCGAGGGGCGGCGAGAAGTGGACAAGCTCTTAACCTACGAGAACGTGACAGCAGCCATTGGCTACGTCAAGAGGCTCATGGAGAGCATACCGAGGAGCAAGCTCACGGTTCGCTTGTCGTCCTGGCTCGAGCTGCATGTGAGGCGGCTGCTGAGGCCCGTTGTTGTTCTTTGTGATCTTTGTGATAGTTTGGTTTCTTGTTGCACAGCCCAGCAATGCCTCCGATAGGACCCCGGTGGGATGCGAGAAAGAGCGGACGGCCATGCGGTTGCTGAGCAAGTGTTTCGCTGAGAAGGTCTTGCAAGGGGATATCCTCGAGGATCAGATCCTGCTGGCAAGCAAGGTCCTCTCGGGTGAGCTGCAAGCAGACCGAGTCGTGAGCAGTCTGATGCTATCCTTCATGGACATGCAGCAACGGCTGCGAGAGGGCAAGAAGGACAGAGTCTGTTCGGGCAAACGGTTGGACGAGGAAACGATGCAGGAGCTGATCTGCACCCTCGGAAATTCCCGCGAGAGCAGAGACCTCCTCCGATACTTCGGGGTGACACTGGGTGACCGACCTCGTGTGAGCTTCAGTGTCAGCCTGCTGCCCGAGTTCTTCGCCTCGCCTAGGAGTATGGATGTTCTTCGTCAGGCTGTGCGCTCGGTGCTGCCTCTTCTGGGCTGTGAGAATGGCTCCCGGAATTGGTTCATTTCCGTAGACGAGACATACTACACACCAAGCTGGCAACTGATCAGTGGCCTACAAGGAGATGGCCGTTTGGTTGTCGGCGGCCATTGGGGAGAATGCAAGGACACAGACTTCTCCGCCCTGCCTTCGGCTGAGGATACACCGGACGACGGCCATCTCTCAAGGATGACACTCGACTTCGTGGCTTGCTCAACCCTTGACTGCAGCAAGGCATGGCACTTAGCCATGCTGCCCATGCCCATGGGAGCAAACAACGGCAAAGCTGTGCTTCAGTTGCGGGTGCTCGATGCCATCATGCATGCGGCCACCTTGGAGAATGGGTGTCCCCCGCTGGGCATCTCAACAGATGCCGGAAGCATCAACACGCCGACCCAGGATCTCTTCGTCGGCTATACGGATGTTCTACAGGATGCAGGGGAGCTCAAGTTCTTCAACAAGTGCACCGCCGTCAGCCTGCAGTACCTCCCCTACTGCATCTGGCGCCACCTGAAGTTTCAGAACGGCACGTCCTCGCACAACCTCCTCGGTGTCTTGGACTGTTTGCACAGTTTGAAGCGGTATACTTATCACCACTTCACCAGCACACGATGCGTGCTTTGGGGAGCGTGGTTCTCCAGTTGCTGGCCAACCTTGCATGCTGGAGGCGGCATCAGTCGCAAGGCGTACACACTCCAAGACACCATGAGCGACGAGCAGCCTCTGTGTCCGCAACTGTTGAGTCTTTGTTGTTAGTACTTTGTTGGGTTCTTAGTCTTTTTATTCTGGTTCTCAGGATGTATCAGCGAGTGAACCCTCGTCACTTGGACGACGGCTGGGCCACGGGCGGGCTCCACGTGTACATGCTGCTGTCGGCCCTCCTGTCCGGCTGCTCTGAAGGGGCGAACAAGCTCAGCAAAGAGGTCCGCTTTGTCAATGCAACGTGTGCCTATGCACTGCTTCTGCTCGGAGTTTACAATGCTCGCAAGCGGTTCGGACAAACGTGGGCTTGCTGGTTTATCCCAATGGTCAGTGTGAGGAATCTCTGCCAATTGGCAGTGCAGCAAATGGCGGCATGCATTGCCAAGCCGGCGGACACCGCCGTTCTCCCCGGCTGCTTCCAGGAGAAGCAGTCGGAGTACCACTACTCCCGGCTGAAGACGCCCTACAGGGGGACACCGTCCATTCGCGACGCCATTGTCGGCGTCCAACTGCTCCATTGCAAGCAGCTTCGCTCCCACAAGCCTCCGACACCTGAGAAAGACATGGATCTCGCCGGTCTCGACTGCAAAGATGCCAAACTCCTCGCTGGCAAGTGCTGGTGACTATTCTGCCTCAGACCCCAGACCCTAAGCCTTGCAAGCCCTCGCCTTATAGAGAATATTGTTGTCAGGGGATGTGTGTGTGTGTGTGTGTTGTGATGCTGAGGAAGGCCTGCTTCCTCTTCCAGAGCTACATCTCCAAAGGGACCCCCGCACCCGTCATCCAACAGGAATTCGACGAGTGGTGGCTAAGCGAAGGAGAAAGCATGCTCTCGAAGAAACGATCCCTCTTTACGGCTGCGGAGCTGCAGGAGGACGACCAGGCATGGGAGGAGCATCTCGAGGACATGATGGAGGCCATGGACGCTTTGGATGAAGACGGTGGGGAGGTCCGCGAGGATGAGGACTCCAGCCAGCTCGCGAGCTTGTTGGCTTCAGAAGACCACCTCAAGGCCAAACGAGAGCTGCAGGCTTTGACCGAAGCCATGGGGAAGGAACCACCGCCAGCAGGACCGACTGCAGAGCCCTTGCCCCTGCCAAGCAGCGAGACACTGGACCAGGCCGTCGTGTCAGAGATCGCAGATCTTGGGGATGAGATTGTGAAGGAGCCGACCCTGTTCTCCGTCATGAAGCCCCTGCTTGACTGTCCTGCATTCGAGGTGCAGGCGACGGAAGGAAACACGGCTGTCTTGCAGAGGATGACGGCTTTGAAGCCCGAGATCCGCAAGCTTGTGTTGGCCATGCGGCTTCGCGAGCGGTACCTGTCCCACGCTTGCCTGACCGGAACCTCCAAGACACAGAGCTCGTGGCACTGCGAGCAGCACCGCTTAGCAATCGCCAGGGCCAGATCTTTGATTTCCGGCGCCCGGAACTCCAGGCAGCAGTCGTGGTGGCAGGTGCAGCAGCAGGTGACTGGGACCTCCCTGTCGGAGACTGTGGACACCGACTGGAAGCTTCGACCGCTGACTGTTCTTCGCCCTCCGGAGCCTGGCAGCGGACAGGCCCACAACTTTCTTCGCCCTAAACCATAAACCCCACGGCTTACAACTTATACAACTGTTATATTCTATAATCTTTCTAAAAAAAAATATCCTTCACGCAGGTGGTCATGTGCAAGCTCCCTCGCCCCGATGAGATCGGCAAGTCGCAGGAGATCGGCATGTTCCTCGTCACCGACGTTTTCCGTGGTGCTGTCTTCAAGCGAAAGGGCTCAGATGCAAAGCGGCGGCAGTGCAATAGGCCCTCGCCGGCAGCATTGCCGTGGACTGCTGTGAGTGCCGTTCGCTTGGTGCCGCTCCAGCGAGTCAGTGATCACCAGTGGGCGTGCTGCGGCTTTACAGAGCCATGGACGGCTGATCCTGTGGAGACCGTTGTCGCTGAGGTTCGAGTCGGCAGGCAGTGCTGGGAGGACGACCGCTTCTTCGTGCGGGTCGAGGACAGCGTCATCGAGGAGATCCAGGCGCTTGCAGCACAGCCGGACAAGTGGGTGGCCAAGACGAGCCCTGCAGTAGAATCTGGCGACAAGCACGATCCAAAGATGTACTGCGTGCAGGACTTCGCGAAGTCGAACGGTGGCAAAAACCTGGTGGCCTTTTTGCGAGGGCTGCCGGAGCAGTATGCCAAGGCGAAGCTGGAGTTCGACGTGCAGAACTGGGAATCGATTTGCCTTCGTTCCGTCGACTACTTCGACACGGTCCAGCCCACTGCAGTCGGCAAGGCCTACGGCAGAGGAGTCTTACAGAAGCTGGCACAGATCCAGCCCGGGGCAGGTGGCATCAAAGCTGTGCAGAAGTTCGTGGCGGATGTCGACGCCTTGGCACAGCCTGTGCTCGTGGTTTGAGCTCGCTTCGAAGTGCTGTCGCTGTACAGATGTGCATCGTCGAGCTCTGTGTACAGATTTTAGGCTTTAGGATGATTTTAGGCTTTAGGACCCTTCTCTCGCAAAGCAGTGGCAAGTCATAGGTCTACGGCTAAGCTAAGGTAGTCATGCTAACCAAGTCGCGAGTGTTTTAGCCTGGTGCTTGGGGGTTTGAGCCACGGCAAACACGGGGCAGAGGGAGAGCACTGGCTCGCACCAGCTGGCGCGAGAGTGAGAGTGAAAAAAATGGACGTTCCGTGCGAGTATTGCCAGACACCGGTGCAGATCCCACACCGACCCAGAAGCAACCCGAAAGCCAGTATCCCGGTAGCTGCTTCGACAGGTTTTAATCCCATAGCCCGAGCCGTCGCCCTAACACAAAAAAAACATGCTCACACGAAGCATGCTCTAGATAGGTGGGGGGGGACGTGGGGAAGAGGATTATCCAGTTCGTGACCCCCCCCC